ACCTGAAATCAGTGGCACATGTCACATGACCATATATCTATACGTATATTGAGAGAGATACATTATTCAAAAATGAAAAAAAATAAATAAAGGGCAGGGATAGCTCCATGGGTAGAGTGGTGGCCCCATGATCGGAAGGTCAGGGGTTTGAATCCACTGAACGGCTGAGGTAGCCCTGAGCAAGGTACTGTCCCTACACAGTGCCCATGGGGACTAACACATACACATTACTATTTCAATCTATGTGGATAAAGGTCTTTCTGAAATTTAATATTAGTGGTAGTGTTAGCATTACTAACCAGGAACTGGATCTCTCAAAATAAGAAAAAATGTTTTCTCTAATGATTTTTTCCTTTTTCTTTTTTGCTTTAAAACAGACAAACTTATACTGAAATATAAACATGTGAAATACAGTTGGAGATTTACACCACCGGTCAAAATGTTAAAATGCCCCAATTTTTCCAGTTATTTAATGCAATTCAAGTTGTTCCCCCAAACTGCTCCCCCTCAAAAAAAAAATCAGAATTATACAAAAAGGCTTTTTTCAGGGACCGGTAGTGTAAATAAAAATCACTGTTGCGTAAGCTAATTTGAAATGAAGAGTCTAAACACGAGCATGAGCTATTTTGTTTTACAAGCTGTATTCTTTTTGTATTTAGTTTTTGCGTTTTGAGTTCAGTTTGTGGCAAAATAGTTCAGCTCTGGAAGCTTAAAAAGTGCTACGATTACTGGCACTTTATTGTACCCCGCAAGCACCTCACATTCCTCTTCAGCAATGTCACAAGTCAATTAAAATAATAAAGTAAATATGGCCTCTGCTTTTATGAGAAAAACAAAAGGGAATGAGTGCTGGGAGTTAAGATTATTTATGCTGACAACACAAAATTCACAAGCAGATTATAAACAAACAGCAGTTAATTAATAACTGAATTAACTATTACTTAGTTAATTCAGTTACCGACCCTGCTGTTAATTACTTTACCATTCTTTTCTTTTTAAGTATGAACCTTATCTTGACTTAAGTTTTTACATAGTGGCTGATGGGGGGGGGGGGAGACAAAAGGCACACATTTACCGCCGTTTCTCTCTGATGTATGACTGACAGGTTATTAACTTAATTAGCTTATTGGACTTGACAAAACTGTGACTTGTTGACCTCTAGTAGTGTTTAATAGTGCAAGGCCTCTTGCAGAGCAAACCTGTCTATTTGACTGATTTATTTTTTTTCATCATTAATATTCCAACAACTTATTTGAAGCGAGAAAGAAAATCAATATGTACATTCAATGAGCGTTCCGGCTGACGCACTACAAAACAGCCTGAGCTGGGAAACAGGCTTTTGTGTAATGAGCTTTAAAAAAAAAGCTGCATTGTTGGTATTCTGTGGAGCTCAGCAGCAGGTGGGTGAATTGTAAATTCAGAGTGACTATACATACATGGTTTACTGCTACACCTCGTGTAACATTTACAGCTTGCTGGCATCCCTAAACGACTCTCCTGCTCTCTGACACAGACAGACATGCACACTTTATATTGATCATCATATGGTTGTTGTTTAAATGAGTGTCTGATGTATGAACTATTCTTATTTTTTATTTGTATTGATGCACAGTTCACACCACAAACAGACAACCATGAGTTTGGTCTGACAAGGCTGCTGAGTAGTGCATTCACTTCATCTTCTTATGTCTGTGGAGTTTCTTCTGCTACCTCGCAAACAATGGTCTCTACTTCAATACAAAGAGCTGGAAGGGGGGGAACAGTGATTCCACCTTTAGGACAAACACAATTAAGTGTTTTGCCAGTGAACGCATTAATCAATTCTTAGGCAGTGACAGTAATGTCTCAATACGAGCTAGAGTAGCAACACAAGTGTATTGAAGTGATATTATCGATCACAAGAGCCATGATTTTCTTTCCTTTTCATTCATTGACATTTTAGTTTTTTGGGTAAGTTAATATAACAACAAAGGGGCCAATAAATTGTACAGCAGTGCATCCTACACCAACTGTTTATTATTCAGTTTAGATGCCGATAGATAAATGAATAAGTGTTATATTGACACAAATGGACCGGGTGCCTCTTCCAAAGTTTACTTACACATGTTCAGAGTGCAACACGTGAGTGGACTGTTAAATCATGTCTGTAAATAGGGATTGTTGGCTCAGTGGACGTGGACTAGCGATTTTTTCTTCTTGATCGAATGTAAAGTATAAACTTTAAATATTTAGCAGAGTTCCTAACAATCGATGCTGAGGTCGTTACAAAAAAGAAAAAACAATACAAAAATGAATACATCAGTGTACTGCACATTATTCTAGCTTTTGTAAAAAGTAATGTAGTTTGTTACTTAATTACCCACTGGTGAAAATATTTCATTACACTACTCCCTATACTACTGTCATGTTACTCCGTTACGTGAACTGAAATGCACTGTCACAATGCTACCACTTACGAGGTTACAGTCACACACACACCAACACAAATCCCTATACTAAAGAGGGAACACAACATCTTTCTGTTATGCATGAACACAAAACCATAAAGCAAATTTGAGAACAAAAGACTTCAAAGTTACCAGAGCCATTCTAGAAACATTTACAGGTAGAAATGGAGGCTGCGGTGTTACAGGCCTGACTGCTTGTCATTGTTACTCAATACAGTAACATAAAGTACTAACGAGTTATTCAATGATCTTCAGCATTGCCTGTTGAAGATCAAATCAAATCAAATCAAAATTTATTTATATAGCACATATTAAAACAACAGTGTTGACCATAGTGCTTCACAGTCAATAAAAACATGAGACAGTTAAAACAAACAATAAAAGAGGACAACAAACAATAGGTAACAACGCAACAAGCTAAAACAGCCAACTAGACAGAATCAAAAGCCAAAGTAAAAAAATAAGTTTTAAGACGTAATTTAAAAGACTGGATAGACTCAGCAGTTATTCCAGAGTCTGGGTGCCACGGATGCAAAGGCCCGGTCGCCTCTCGACTTCATTCGAGTCCTAGGTTGTGCTAGGAGCCTGTGGTTGGACGATCTAAGTGCTCTGTTGGGATTGTATGAATGGAGTAAATCAGAAAGATAACTGGGCGCTAAATTATTCAAAATATTAAAAGTGAACAAAAGAATTTTAAAATCTATACGATATTTAACAGGGAGCCAATGTAATTTGGCTAAAATTGGAGTTATGTGTTCATGAATTCTCGTACCTGTTAAAAGACGCGCAGCTGCATTTTGAATTAACTGGAGCCGGCAAAGAGAGGAGTGTTGGAGGCCCGAGTAGAGGGAGTTACAGTAGTCCAAGCTGGATGTAATAAATGCGTGGATAAGCTTTTCAAGGTCCTTTAAAGGAAGGAACGGCTTTGCTTTGGAAATCTGACCAGGTTCTGGTTAGCAAACACTCAGCTTTAACATCACCCTGGATTCTTTGCTAGCTTTGTATTTAACACAGAGCTGCATGTAAAAAAAAGATGTTAGCAGCACAGTACAATTACTTTTCAAAGTTTACATTTTCTAGTGTCAGAAGAAAAAGGCACATTTGATGTTTGCTTTTTGTTTTTTTCTTTCTGTCCAATCATCTGACAGATAAATGAAAAAACTTTATAGTGCAGGTAACATGATTGTATATAATGACTGCATTTATTCCAGTAATTCATTATATTACTGTATTAGCTAAAAATGTCATGTGATTACGTTAATCCACTGTGGATGATCACAGTATTGGACAATGATTAATTGTGCTGATAAAGTTCACCACTTAGATTAGCATGCTGCTATATAGTAATTATTTAGTCATGACCCAAACAACTGAAGAACTTTTCAGTCACTGGCTACACTTAAAAAAAGGCTCAATGGTGCCACTAATACAACAACCAGTGAAGCTGGACTATATGCTGCCATATGCTACTACTAGCAGGCTAATACCATGATACATTAGTATCTTTGTATCATGTCGCCTAAAATTCAAAGTTGGCATGAATGCGACGATCAAGATGTTTCAAATTAAACAGCATTGTTTTTCAACCATCCCGGTGGCATTACAAGTGAAGTCTTCTGAAAGCACACCAAAATATCCATATCCAATAACTATTTATTTATTTCAGTCTTTACTAAACTGGTGGACTGTTGAAACAACCAAATAATATCGTTGCCATACTGAAAAGTCCAAGTTAAATCAAACTGCCAAATGAATTTTAGACAAAGTTTTCAAGCTGTGTTGACAGCAAGGTCAAGAGCAACATGAACCCAAATTTATTACTGCCCTTAACTATCGTTTATCATTAGCATCATTAGCGGGTGCTTAGTCAGCCCTGTAAAAGTTCTGTCGTGCAACTATTGCTCATGATTTGGGAAAACATTTCATCATCATAATAAAATATTTTTTCATCACTTAGAGTCAACAAGAAAACCTGAGCAGAAGCTTCTAGGTGCTGCGCTGCCTGTTACAGAAAGCTTTGCTTCCAGGTCACAGCTGATGTTGTTCACATACATATTCCTGCAGGCACATATTCATTCAGGAACTCAAACCAGAGCCACAAAAATGACTGTAACAGTCACTCAATGAAAAGCAAAGATTGTATTCTGGGTATTCAATTAAGTTCCAGATCTTAAACAATGTATTGGATGCACAGTTGTAGCAAAAAGAGAAAAACAGACATAGTGCTGGCACGAACTGATAAAGAAGAAGACTGCTTATTTGAATTCAATTTAACACCCCTAGAAAAGAAATAACCGATACATAGTCGTCGTCTTTGTTGTGGAGGGAAAAAAATAACAACCGTTTTGCAGATATAAACCACAATAAAGGCGAAGAGTATTTATCAGTGAGTGCAGGCATTCAGTCTGTTTACATTGATGGAAGGTTATAGCTAAAATGTGTTTTTGCCCCACAACAAAGAAAAACACTCTTGATCATTAAAAAAGAAGCCGTATTGTTTGAATTCAATTTACGTTCCCAAGCAAAACTTCATGTCCTGTGGTTTGTACTCACCCGGGATGTTGTGGATAGTGATGGCTAGGATGAGGAGAAGAACTCGCCGCCAGCTGCTGCCTCTCTGTTCAGCCACTTCCTGTTGTTTACTTCCTGTTTCATGTCCATCCGAGTTGCTCGAAGGAAGTCCTTTCCTTCTCTGGTAGACGTCTCCATTCTCAATTTTATCTGTTTAACAGAGGATAACAAACATTAGACAGCACTTCTTTTTCACCACTCAAAGTACTTTCACACTGCAGGCCACATCCACCCATTAACACAGGATTCATTTGAATTCTATGTGTTTACTGCAAAGCCCTTTAATTACCAGAAACAGATGGACTGATTGGTTTTCAGCCGAGGGTCTAACTACCAACCTCCAGATTGGTGCACCTCCCGAGCCAGAGCTGAACCCAATAGAATTTGGTGGAATTGCAATTATTAAAAGTTTAGCACATAAATAAATAAAAAACTCAGAAGAACTCAAAGAATCCCTTTTTTAAGAAACACCGACATGCACACTGGGATTACAATCTTTCAACCTGCCTACAAGTGTTGCTTCCAAACATGGCTGGGAGACTTGTTTAAGTACTTTTTGACCGCAGGCTGGCTTTAATTGCTTGGTGGATTGCCCCACAGCGCCAGACACCCTTCTCTTTGACTGTGGCTATTCTTGTGACTTTTCCTGAAACAAAAAACTTTGAGGAAACCTTGTCCAGCAATCAGCAAGGCGTGAGGACGTGTAAAAGTAGGAAGGGAGGGTTTCCTCATTAACATTCGGCTTCTTCATTGTTCCCTCTTATTTTTCATTATTCATCCATTTCATAGTGGCAGGGTCGACCGCAGCCCTCATCCTTCCTGATATGGCTTAAATGATACTCCTAATTATGGCATATGGCAGCAGATTTTAACCCTATCTTTGACTACGATCATAAAGAATAGGTAGGGTTGGTAGAGAAGGATTGGGAGTCAGCATTCACAGCTCTTTCTTGATTTCAGTCACACGTTGAAGCCTTGTTTATATAACACTCAGATGGTTGCGTGGATTTACAACAAATCTGCTGTAGAGTTGATCCTTGATTGCAATAGAACAAAGGTGTCAAGAGGTGCATCCTATAAAGACACTCAGAACTACATTAATCAGGCTAATTAAGGTCTTTGAAATGCCAATCAGCGCTTATGTGAGTCTGAATGTCAACGTTTCAAACACAGAATCCTTATAATTGTGACTCACGTGAACATGCACTTAGTTTTCTGTTATTCAACGAAAACTTGCGGTGATGCGCGACACATAGGAAGCAATTACCCACAAGATCAAAGGACAACTTAAATGACAAATGGGTTTATTACAGAGAAGATCATCTGCCTCGGCTGGCTGCTTCAAGCCTGATTAGCACGTCAGTCACCAAATTTGTATTTACAGGCTGACAGATGAAAAGTAAAACTTTCATTAAAAGAAAAATGCTCAGGATTTGTCGCATATCAGTCCAATTACCAGCAATACAACATCTGTCAGTGTCATAAACCAAAGTTAATGGCCCAAGACAATTTAATTTGCACAAAACTCCTGATGAAGGTTACGCAGACGGAGCAAATTACATTATGTTGTTATAAAAAAACCAAAATAAGCCCAAAATGGACAGACGCCATCAAACAGCTGAAAAATGTTGGGTACAGCATGAACATAATGATGATTAGCTGACTAAATGGTGCAATGCTTTTAATATTTTATAGGTTTCCAATCAAAGGAGACTGTCTAGAAGCAGAGGCGCTGTAGATGCACTAGGAATGGTTTAAATTACCAAAACCCCTCCCTGCTCTTCTCGTGAAATGCCATGAGAGATGCCCTCGAGTGGATAATTCAGTTTGCAGTGTTTAGTCTCGGCCGCCCTCCCCATCCCTGCATCGGTCTCTTTTTTTTTTTCACCTACATTGCTGAACACAAGCAATTGACCTCTATTAATGTGTTCCAAGTGTCTTGTTCTTACTATGTAGGGGGCTGTAAATTGCAATTATTGGTGAGTAAAGGTCAAACAATCTGGACTTTAGCTTGCAGTGCACTCTCTGTAACAACCTCAGCCAAGCAGAAGGGAAATTCGCTGTGTATTTCTCACCCATTTAACTTCCCAAACTATTTGACTACTGGAAATTTTCATGATTTAAAAAAAAACATTTTTTAGCTGAACACAAATACCCAAATATGCACAAGTGCCACAAGATAATTGTCTTAATAAAGATAATCTTCTCTTCTACTCTAAATGTTATGATTCAATACATATATGTATATTAGACAGGGTGTATACTCTGAAAGTTTCTACTCAAGTCTTTTTTCTTTTTCTGCTCCTTGTTAAACACAACTATGTCTGGTTTGTTGGCCAGAAGCTGCTTCTCTCAATCGCATCTATAAAAAAATAACTCAAATACCAAAAATCCACTTTGGACACTAAATAAGCCATTTCTAGTTTTGTCCTTAGTTGAGATACTTCCTTGATGTGTGTGGCCAAACTTTTGACTGTGTGTGTATTTAATTAATTAAACTTCACACAAAAAGAAAGATATGAGTAAACCTATTAGGGTTGGTAGTGGCGAACATGAATGAATACATGGTTACGGATGTGACTGGCATTCGAACCCCTAAATTTGCTAGTAGCTGCTTTCATCAGCCCTCTGATTGCCATTCATGGCCTTGATACTGATAGGGCTCACTGTCTTTAATAAAATATTTAACCAGAACCTATTCTGACCAACATAATCACTCTTTGTATCAGTCTTTTAGCTCATTTGGTCTACCAAAGAAGAAACCATGAAATGACCCTTTGTACGTTCAATAGGGATCCTGTCAGATTGTACCCTTTTAAAATTTAGCTATTTACAGTTTGAGACAGAGTTAAAAAAAAAAGAAAAAAGAATGAGGCAGGTGGAAGAATACATCGTGGATAAATATCTCTCAAGGTTACTTGCTAACTAAGGGCATAAAGGTGCCTGGTGACTGAGAGTATGCAGATATACTTTTCATCAGTATTCCCTTAGAAAGGACTGTTCTCCACAAGGACACACACGTTGACCTGCCATTATTGGACTTGAATGAAGTGAAAATAAAAAGACTCGCTGCTCCACAGAAATGCCTGCTGTCCTAGTAAAAAAAAACAAAAAAAAACACCAACCAACCACGAAATGCAGTTTATTTTGTGAACATTTCACTTTTTCAAGATTGTACACAAAAAGCCTGTAGCAGCAGAGGCAGTTGTTTCCTGAAGGCCAAAACTTTGAATACTATTGCAGCCACAAAAGGATTCATAAAGAAAGCAAATACAGCACTGAAAATCTGACCTGATTATAGCCATAGTAAACGAATGTTCAGTCATCATTACAGATGTTGTAAAAGTCTATAAATCATCACAGTTTTTAGACTTGTTGCTTGCACAGCTAACAAGTAGACAGGGGGCGCCATTTTTGCATGATGATGCTAAAGAAACTTTCACGCCTGATTTGAACTGTGAAGCAAATTTGTCATTCCGCCTTAAATCCATCAAGCCTTCTTCATGAACATCTCCGATTTCCAAAAACATTTATGGTAGGAAACTTTGAACATAATAATGGCTGCTATAAAATCTCCATATACCATACTGATATCCATCCATCCTCTTCCACTTATCCTTATCAGGATAAGTGGAAGGGCTGGATACACAATACACAGCTAAAATTTCACAGCACTGATTCTATATGTTCAAACTGTACCATAAAGGTTTTTGCCAAGTTGGAGATAGTGAAGCAGGAAATGTTCTAAAAATTGGCTGTTTAGCCACCAGTGCTGTCCATCAGCCTCCTATTGCTGCAAATGTATGTACTCCATCGTATAAATGTGAAAATCCTCGGTGAGTTACTTCTCGAGTTACCACATTCACAAGATTTTCAGAAAACTTGAGCAAGATTCAAACTCATCCAAGATTTTTGGTAGATGCACACCTATGATACCACAGATGTTACGGTATCCGTTTGAAAATTTCACGTCACCTTGTTCTCGTGTTCACAAAAGTTGGGTGTCCAAACTGTCTGCCCACGTGCCTGCTACCCCGTGTGGTGACAACAACAGCATCATAAAACAACACAATAATAAAAATTAGATAGTACTTATCGATGCTATACATCTGCAAATACTGACATTTATATAAACAGCTATGGCTAGAAAGGAAAAACCTCCTTCTCTCCCGTGGAGTCCCAGAAAGTAATACAATATTCCAGGAATGTTACGTTTTGGGTCTCCTGTTTGTCATTCAGGCAGCAGATCTGAGACTACTTGGCTTGGGCACATGTTGTGTGACAGAATCCTGAGACTGAGAAAAAAAGAGAGACTACACGGTTTGTCACAGTTTTCATCCGGAGGTAGGAAGAGTTGCCTCCTGTTGCTGTAGCAGCAGATGAGTCAGGACGTGACGGTGCCACAGCCTCATCTGCTGCTCCATGCCAAGTTAATGAAGAGTGTGGGTCTTCAAGGAGCAAGCTGGGTTAGCTAAGTGGCTTTCAAAGATTTTGGTCACACCCGTTATGGCAACAAGTATTTCTGAGGCGCAACTTAGCACAGCATAACATGTCACTGTAGTCAAGTCATTCCAAAACATATCTGCTGTTCTCATCATTCGAGGACAGGAGGGGAGACGGGAGAGAGGATGACTGAGATGAGAAAACAAAAACAGCTGTTTGGAGAGGTGAGGGAGAGGAGCGTATCAGATCGATAAGATACACAATTTGACAGCAACTGTTTGTCAAATCTGTGGCATTTCAAAAGAAGCCTCAATTTTCAGAAGTGAACAAAGCACCGGCACCTCACATTGAAGGTCTTAGTTTTTCCTCGGGGGTTTTGATCTTGCTGCTGGAAATAAAAAGCTGAATGAACGCTCACTTTCTTTCTCTCTCTCTCGCTCTATTTATGATTCATTTTTGTGAAAAGCAGCTGACACACCTGATTGAAACCTTTTTTTGTATAGTGCAGCGTCTCACATCTTATAACAATTTTACTCTGAAATAACCTGAAAATGGTACAGTGATCAGTGGAAATAATCTTCGAGCGCGACACAGAGAATCAAATTAAAAGAAACGCAATGACAGCCAATCAAAATAACAACACATTGTAAGAGGCACAAAAGAAAACTGACAACACAATTGGGCAGGTTAACACAGGGCCTGAGAGG